CCTCCCTCCCCAACTGCGCACCCCCCCCCCGACCTTCCCCCCCCTCCGACTTCCCCCGACTCTCTCCTCCCCGCACGCACCCCGCGCGATTTCCACGCGATCCCCCGCCACGCGCTACACACCAGAACGCTCCAGCCATCCTCCCATGAACACCCACCCAACCCGTCTCACGAAACTCACGTTGGAGGAGCAAACCTTCCTCCAAGCAAACGGTGGTTGTTTCCGGTGCCGACAGTTAGGACATCAACAGACAAACTGTCCAATGGCACCCAGGTCCACGGCCCCCCGACCCCCCGCTTCCGCATCCGCCACTCCCGGTCCCTCCCCCACATGAACACAGTCCCCAGGATCACCATGAACCCGTCCAGGCATCGACGATTAGTCTGCCGGCCATGCCATCGGTGACAACCTCCACCCCACTGGTGGCCCATTTGGCATCGACAATACGTCTGCCTCCCCCCCTCTCCGGTGCCGCACACCACCGGACGACCCCCAGGCGTCGCAACCCTCGTCGCCTGACGCCCCCCTCACCGCCACATGTTCCGCAACACTCCTTCCGAATTCATCCGCTGTCACCTTCTTTGATGTTGTTGAGGAACAAGCCCGACTAAATTGGCTTGTCCGATTAGGCAATGAACAACGCCACCATGACTCATATCCAACTCCTCCCATCGCTTCATCACCGCTACACCCAAGGCTACCTCTCTTGCCCAGATTTCTCAACAATCTACAACAAACTTCGTGACCTCGACCCTGTCCCCAACTACTCCCTCCATGACAATCTCCTTTACATCGATACTAAAGGCACCCGCCGACTTTGCATCCCTGACGCACGTGGCCTCCGTACCCAGCTCTTGGCCGACCATCTTGACACCAAGACTGCAGGACACCTCGGGTTCCAAAAAACCTTCGACACCATCTCTCGCTACTTCTAATGGTCTTCCCTACTTGCTGACGTCAAAGCCTATATTCGCTCACGCCCCACATGTCAAGCCGTCAACCCCTCAAACCACGCCAAGCCCGACAAGCAACAATCATTGTCGATCGTCACCCACTGCTGGCAGTCCATCTTCATGGACTTCGTCTGTGGTCTCCCCAAGACCGACCGCAGACATGATTGCATCTATGTCATTGTTTGCCGCTTGACTAAACGTGCCCATTTCATCCCTTGCACCACATCACACAGCGCCAAGGACGTCGCCATTCTCTTCTTTGACCATGCCGCACGCCATCACGGTCTCCCCGAGAACATCATCAGCGACCGTGACCCTCGTTCACAATTCTGGAAACACCTATTTAAAGCCTGCTCAAGTATAGCACTACATTCCACCCACAGACCGATGGGCAAATCGAGAAGATGAACGATACTCTCCAAAGAATCCTAAGGAACTATTGTCCTCCACATCAACACGATTGGGATCAGTTGCTCACCACCGCCGACATCGCCTACAACAATGTTGTCTGCCCTTCCACTGGCATGTCTCCATTCTACCTCGACCTTGGCTATCATCCGCGCTTGCCCTCCGAATTCCTGCTCCCCTCGCAACTCAACCCCTCCACCCCCTGCCCTTCTGTCAATGAATGGGTAGCAACAATGAACAGACTCCTCAGAGAAGCTACCAAAGCCCAACAAGCCAACAAGACTAACAAACACAGACGTGGCGTGTCATTCAAAGTAGGGGACAAAGTCTGGCTTTCCGCCAAACGCTTTGAAGCAGAACACGGCTTGTCCAAGAAACTCTTGAACAAGTGGCTCAGACCCTTCCTCATCATTGAACAAACCTCCCCCATCAACTACAAACTCCAACTCCCCCCGACATGAGTCGTGTCCACCCTGTCCACATAGAATACCTAAAAGAATACCATGAATCCCCACCCCAATCCGTTGGCCGCCCATATCCTAGACCTCCACCAATCATGTTACCCACAGGCCCTGAATTCGTGGTCGACGCCATCATAGGACGTAGAACTGCTCAGGTATCTGACCACCCTGAACCAATAACAGAATACAAAGTTAAATGGACATGATACCTTGACGAAGAATCCGCATGGGAACCTCTTGCTAACCTTAAGAATGCCATGAAACTTGTTCGCACCTATGATCGTGCTCACCCTATATCCTAGATACATAATATAACTCAAACCGTAAACCCTTGCATGAACCCCGCCTTGACCCCGCCAAAACCCCGCATCCCTGCTCTACACACACCCCTGCACCCAGCAAAGCCCTTGCCCCTTGATCTCTCTCTGTCTGATCCTCTCTTGCCTCCATCTCGCCCCGTTCTCCCATCTGTCCTCCGCCACATCCTTGTCTCTCTTGTCCAAATTCTCTTTGTGGCCCCTGCGGGTCGTCGACGATAATGGATTTAATGGCAAGCACACGAGGACGATGACATGCTGCAGCTCAGTATGAGGAGATAAGACAGTTGGTTGGCCACCATGCTGTTCCCTTTGGCCGACACCTTGGACTCGCAGACTTTTGGAGCAACACCTTTGATATGGACAACAAGATCAGTCTGCGACCTGCTATCCGGATCAGACCTCATCATTAGATCGTGTACCGGACGCAACTTGCTACTGCGACAATCAAGATGAAGTCCTCGCCGTCTACATCACGGAACTGTTGAAGACTGTTTCCTCACCACCACTTCTGCAACACCCTCCAAGACCTTCCTCAAAACATTTCTTCGCTTTTGACACTTTATGGACCTGAGACGTTGTCTTTTCAGACCCCTCAGACACCCTAAAACTTGAGCATTGAACAAACAATTTTTTTTTTTTTTTTTTTTTTCCTCTCAAACCTGACAACCTATAACCTTGTAGAACACCAATAGGACTACCCTGGTACTCGTAGAACCTCAATAGGATTACCATGTTACTTGAACATTGCTACTCTCACCCGTGTAGAACCTCAATAGGATTACCCTGTTACGTGAGCATTGATTCCCTCATCCCTGTAGAACCTCAATAGGATTATCCTGCTACTTACTCCCCTTTCCTTTTCTGACCAGTGATCGGCCCCGTCCTGTCCTTCATAGTTTCATTGGGTCTTTGGCAGCCGAGATGTTGCCTTCCAGAGGGAGGGGATAGTGTTACAGACTCAGCCAGGGCTCGATCCCTGGTCCGTGGGGTACCACCCGCGAACCAGGCTGCTATTCTATTTTTTTGGAGCTTTTGATCTCCGGTTCCTGACTGTTCGCGCCCTCTGCAGTTGGCGCCCGTTCTCAAATCCCGCCTCTGCCACTTTCGAATTTCGTACTTGGCGCCATCCGGCATTCTGGCGCCCAGGCTCAGACCTTGGCTTTCAGTTCAGCCCCGAGGCAAATTGCAATTATTGCAGTTTTGCCCTCGGACTCAACTCGAGTCCGGTACTTGAGACCGGACTCAAGCTGAGTTCGGGGGACGCAGTTTTCGGCCTCAATGCTTGTGCTTCAGTGTGACTTGCTGCGACATTGTGTACGGAACCAAGATTGCCACTTTGCGACTTTGTCACTTTGTGTCCGTGTCCGTCGAGTTGTGTCGAGTTCGTGTCGAGTTGAGTGAGTGTGTGTGTGTGCTCTCACTCCCTCCCTCTCTCTTCCTCGACCTCGCTGCTCTGCCTCAGCCCCGTCACATCAGGATTGATCACCAGACCCTGAGGTGGATGAAGACTCAACCAGTACTCTCCGATGATCTGAAGCGATGGATCGAAGTCATAGAGCAATATGACTTTGAGCCCCAATCCATAAAGGGGGAGCACAACAAGGTTGCTGATGCATTGTCGTGTAGGCCAGACTTCCTGGGTGCGCTGGTCACTGAATTTGGGTTTGTGGACGATGTTAGTCAGACTTTGGTGGAAGCCTATCATGAGGATCCGTTTATGGCCGAGATCATACGCAGTCTCGAGGCAAAAGACAAAGCAACTGCTGACGAGTTTGTGTTGGTCAACGGTCTGCTGTTCCTTGAGAAGGCCGGGAATAAACGCTTGTGTGTTCCAAATCGGGAGTCTTTGCGTAGTTTATTTTTAGGCGAATGTCATGATGCCACCAGACATTTTGGGTATAGGAAGACTGCAGCCAATCTGTTGCAGCGGTTCTGGTGGCCCACAATGATGAAAGATGCGAAGCTGTACGTGGAGACTTGTCAGGTGTGTCAGGAGACGAGCCACATACACAGACCCCTCTTGGGCTTCTTAAGCCCCTTCCTATTTCGGAAAGGCCCGGTGAGAGCCTGTCTATGGATTTCATGGACACGCTGGTCACCAGCAAGAGCGGCATGAGATATGTCTATGTCATTGTGGATAGGTTTAGTAAGTATGCCAGATTAGTTGCAATGCCTGCTGCAGCTAAGACCGAGTATGTAATCAAGCTGTTCAAAGAGAACTGGGTCAGAGATTTTGGACTTCCAAAGTCTATTGTGAGTGACAGGGACGTCCGATTCACCAGTGAGTTGTGGAAGACTGCAGCTGCAGAACAGGGAACACAGCTGCAGATGACTTCTGGGAACCACCCAGAGGCAAACGGGCCAGCAGAGCAGCTGAATCGCGCTGTTCAACACCTGCTGAGGCATTACATCAAGCCTAATAAGGTGGACTGGGATGAGAAACTTGCTCTCATCGCCAGTCTCTATAACAACGTCGTGCACAGCGCAACAGGGGTGAGCCCCAACAGCCTGCTACTGACTTTTAAACCTAGACTGCCATTAGATTTTCTCTTACCTGAGGATCAGTCTGCTGCTGCACCAGGCACTCTAGAATCTGCTTATCGATATGAGTACCCAATGCAGCAAGCTGTAGAACAGATGCACAAGGCACAGGCGGCGATGATCGAGTCTAAGAACAAACACCGCCGCCCATCTACATTTCAGGTAGGGGACAGGGTCTGGGTCAAATCCTCAGAACTGGGACAAGAGCAAGGGATCTCCCGCAAGCTCATGCCACAGTACTTTGGACCATGGGAGGTTCTCGATATTGTCGGGGGTGATCTGGATGGGCCGTCATATGTAATTCGTCACCTTCGCACTTACCCTGTCTTTCACGCCTCCAAACTTGCACCTTTCAAGGAAACTGACCAGTTTCCCTCTCGTCGCTCAATGTTGCCCTCAACCATGGATGGGGAGGTTGACATCGATGACATCGTGGACCACAGGGAAATGCCAGTTGCAAGACCAACAGGCAGGGAACGTCCTCCTAAGCCGAAGCTGCAGTATCGCGTTCGGTTCAGACATCACATTGATCCTAAGGAGGACAGATGGTTTACCAGGGAGGAACTGATGCAGACCGCTCCACAGGTTGTCGCTGACTACGAGAAGTCACTGCAGAAAGGAAAGCGCCAGATTGAGTAATGGGACTTCTCACAGGACTGTCGAAGTGTGGAGGAAGGAATGCGAGGCTCAAGGCCTCGATATGCCCTACTGGGCCCTATTTTCAGTACAGTCGGCCGCCCTAAGTGAAGGCAGGCTCGACCAAGGCCTACAGGCCCATTTTTGGGGTCACCACACAACTGGGAAAATTCAGGCAGTTGCGCAGTGCCAGTTGGTTGAGAGCGCCCAGGCTCAGGCTGCCTTTTTTGTATGTAACTGATGCAGGCCCTGGGCCAGATACGCAACATGGGCCGAACACAGGCTGCGGGCAGTCGGGCACGGGTAACCACCACAGGCCCTGGGCCTGATTCGTTCGGACTGGGGCTGAGCCTCACGGGGCCTACCGGAAGCTTCTGGACCGAGGCCCAATGCAGGCAGGCCGCACGCAGCAGGCAGGCCACTTCCATTTAGGAAAGTGCCTGCCCCAGCACTCCTCATTCGGGCACTGGCTGCGCAAGCGCTGCTGCGCTAGACGCTGGCCAGCGCTCACGTGCTCACCGGTGAGCTGGATGAGCAGGCAGCCATAGCCGAGCTGCACTGCTGTATGCTGGATGGGGCGCATGGTGGTCCTTGGGTGCACGTGGCATCTGTGAGTGGGGGATCGAGGTTGTGAGCGATACGAGAGACATACCTGGTGCTTGAGGTGAACGGCATTGGCTGAGATCTGCTCATACTTCGGGGAGCTGTTGACATCACCAGCGGCATTGTAGATAGGCTGGATAGGATCTTCCATTTGTAGTCTGGGTGCAGAACACCAGATAGAATGTGGACATTGGTTCTTTGTTGATGATGATGAGACCATTCGAACATTGTCACTTATGAGGTTTTGCTGTGCTCTTATTTGGTGGGACTCGTGTTGCAATTCTGCTTTTGGTTCGAGGTCGCGACTATCTGGTCTCATGTGTATGATGCTGCTTGGTTTCTGAAGTTCGCTATCGCTCATTTTCCTTGCAGTTGTCATTCGTGGCAAAAGAAGAGGAAGGGAAAAAAGAACAAACGATGTCGATGTTCTAAATACCATGCTATTTGTTTTTTTTTTCTTTTCCCTTTTTCCCATTTTTTTAAATTCTGATGTAGTAATACTTTCAGAACTGATATAATCACATTTGCTGTTTCGTTTTCCCCTCTTTTTGTTCCTCCCATGGTGTTCCGAAAGAAAAAAAAAGGCCCAAGAATGTACATGTCTCTCTCTTTCTTTTTCCCTGTCTCGCTCTCTCTGTCTTTCTTTCTGTATGAGAGAGAGAGAGACAGGGAGAGAGAGAAAGAGAGAGAGAGAGAGAGCGAGAGAGAGAG